CCTCGGCCATCAGCTTTGCCACTCCAATCCAGAGGGGAACTGAGAGGGCAGAGGATCTAGGCCCAGTGCTCTTCAACATCTTCATCAACGATCTGGACGAGGGGATAGATGGGGAACTCATCAAATTTGCGGATGACACCAAGCTGGCAGGAATAGCCAACACTTCAGAAGACAGGCTTAGGATACAGGAGGATCTGGACAGACTTGAATACTGGGCGCTATCTAACAAAATGAAATTCAATAGTGAAAAAAGTAAGGTTCTACATTTAGGCAAGAAAAACCAAATGTACAGGTATAGTATAGGGGGTACTTTGCTCAATAGTAGTAACTGTGAGAGGGACCTTGGAGTCCTAGTGGATAATCACTTAAATATAAGCCAGCAGTGTGCTGCAGCTGCCAAAAAAGCCAACTCAGTGCTGGGCTGCATTAACAGAGGGATAGAATCAAGATCAGGTGAAGTGTTAATACCACTTTACAATGCCTTTGTAAGGCCACACTTGGAATACTGCATCCAGTTTTGGTCACTACGATGTAAAAAATATGTTGAGACTCTAGAAAGAGTACAGAGAAGAACACCAAAGATGATTAGGGGACTGGAGACTAAAACATATAAGGAACGGTTGATGGAATTGGGTATGTCTAGTTTAACGAAGAGAAGGACGAGGGGGGACATGATAGCAGTGTTCCAGTATCTCGGGCTGCCCCAAAGAAGAGGGAGTCAAGCTATTTTCCAAAGCGCATGAAGGCTGCCTGGGAGGAGACTTGTAGTTGGATTCATTCTATGCTCCTAGCATCTTTCAGAGAGGGGGTCCTCAGCCTTAAAGCAAGCAGTCATGCAGCCCCTCCTTCAAAGAGCTGACAGTGCTGGATAACTGCCTCAACCTGACAGTTCTTGATAACCATCATCCTGTCTCTGACCATCCTCCAAACACTAGGATGTTGACAGCATTCCTTGGCCTGGAGTAGACATGTATAAATAAATAGATACTCCATGCCAGTGACTTTGCCCATCAGCTTCATGTAGATGCTAAAGAGGAGTGGAAAGGCATACAGCCCTGGCTTGCAGTGGGATCCTTCCCTCTCCCTAAACATCAGCTGGCTCTAGAGGAGGAAGGAGAGCCACCACAACATCACTATTCCTCATATCTCAGCTGGTTCAGAAAGATACCTGGATCAGTAATGTTGAAGGCTGCTGAGAGATCAAGGAGACTGGAGATGGGTGAGCCATCCACATTCTTCTCCCACCAGAGGTCATCTACACAGTACAAGCATGATTGGTTATTGTCTCAGTGCTACACCCTGAAACTGAAAGGGGCCCATGCAATCCATTTTTTCCAGAGCTCTCTGAAGTAGCAGTCCTAATACCTTCTCAAGGACCTTCTCTAAGAAGGAAAGGGTGGAGACAAGACAAAATAATAATAATAATAATAATAAAAAATAGACAGACAAGCACCTGCAACATAACACCCCGGACTTAACAATTGTCGATAAGAAAGACAAAGAAGTCTGGATAGTGGACGTGGCAGTGCCTGGAGACAGCAGAATAGACGAGAAAGAACTGGAGAAGATAACAAAATACAGAGACCTACAAATAGAAATAGAAAGACTGTGGCAAAAGCAAGCAAGGGTAGTACCAATAGTAATAGGCGCCTTGGGTGCAATCCCAAAACAACTGGAGCACCACTTGAACGCCATTGGCATTGACAAATTCGCCATTAGTCAATTGCAAAAGGCGGCCTTACTAGGAACTGCTTCCATCCTGCGACGATATCTGTAATATCATCAAACATCCACATCTGCCTATCCCAGGTCCTGGGTAAGGACTCGATAGGTAGACAAAATGCCAAATCCAGTCTGAACATCTGGCTGACTGTGCGATGATCCATAGTAATAATAATAATAATAATAATAATAATAATAATAATAATAATAATAATTAGTAGTAGTAGTAGTAGTAGTAGTAGTAGTAGTAGTAGTAGTAGTAGTTTGAATGGATCTTGGAGGTCATCTAGTCCAACCCCCTGCTCAGGCAGGAAACCCTATACCATTTCAGACAAATGGCTGTCCAGTCTCTTCTTAAAAACCTCCAGTGTTGGCGCATTCACCGCTTCTGGAGGCAGGTTGTCCCCCGGTTAATTGTTCTCACTGTCAGGAAGTTTCTCCTTAGTTCCAGGTTGCTTCTCTCTTTGGTTAGTCTGATAACTTTGGATCCTGTGAGGGTCTTTTGTGTGGATGCACTTCTCCCTCAATCAAGGGTGAAGTATTGCCCCACAGGACAGACCTGGTCAGGAAATAGGCCCCAGAAGCTGCACCTGATCTCCGCTTATATAGGCTATAATAACAGTATCTCCATGAGCCTCTCTTCCCTCCCTCTTATGGCAGGGGCATCGTTTAATTTCCGTCCTCCTAAGCGTAGCTGATATTTTTGTAACAGCTGCCACATAATTTGATCAAGACTATCTCTGTATCTGGGCCCAAGCACGCATCATCTCCCAGAAGACCTGAGTTAGACCATGGATCTAATGCACGTGGCCAAGGTCACATCTTGGGGACTGTGCCCACTTCCTCAGGACTAATAGGCTCAAATTAATAGGCTCAAATTCTTCCCAGATAACCAAGCCAGGCCATGCTCTGCAGGACCTGCAGAGCCAAATTCCAACTGGGAGCCAATTCTAGTAACTCTATCCGAGAGATGCTGAGCACGTTCCTCACAGCAGTCCTGCTGATGTTCCTTCCCACTTTCCATGAGGCACCAGGCCTCCTTGAGCAGGCTCTCTGCAGACAGGAGAGTTACCTTTGCTGCTCTTTTCACTCTGAGGTGGCCCTTAATAAAGGCTCTGTCAAAATTCATTCTTTGTTTTCAGGGGATTCCCCCAGTTTTGTCACTCNGAGATGCTGAGCACGTTCCTCACAGCAGTCCTGCTGATGTTCCTTCCCACTTTCCATGAGGCACCAGGCCTCCTTGAGCAGGCTCTCTGCAGACAGGAGAGTTACCTTTGCTGCTCTTTTCACTCTGAGGTGGCCCTTAATAAAGGCTCTGTCAAAATTCATTCTTTGTTTTCAGGGGATTCCCCCAGTTTTGTCACTCAGGGCTTCTCCAAAATCCAGGGGAAATCCTGGAGACCCCAGTCAGAGGCTGCCTAAGTTGAGTGGTTCCTCTCGTTCCAAGCGGTGGCTGAGCAATGCCAGCTCCACAAGAAAGCCAGCAGGGCCCACCAGATGCCGATAGTGGGCAAGGAGGCCCTTCCTTGCTGAGGTGGGGAGCAGCACTAATAGTAGTAAAGTTGGAAGGGACCTTGGAGGTCATCTAGTCCGACCTCCTGCTCAGGCAGGAAACCCTATACCATTTCGGACAAATGGCTGTCCAGTCTCTTCTTAAAAACTTCCAGTGTTGGAGCATTCACCGCTTCTGGAAGCAGGTTGTTCCACTGGTTAATTGTTCTAACTGTCAGGAAGTTTCTCCTTAGTTCTAGGTTGCTTCTCTCTTTGGTTAGTTTCCATCCGTTGCTTCTTGTCCTGCCTTCAGGTGGCTTGGAAAATAGCTTGACTCCCTCTTCTTTGTGGCAGCCCCTGAGATATTGGAAGACTGCTATCATGTCCCCCCTCGTCCTTCTCTTCATTAAACTAGACATTCCCAGTTCCAGCAGCCGTTCCTTATATGCTTTAGCCTCCAGTCCCCTGATCATCTATGTTGCTCTTCTTGTACTCTTTCTGGAGTCTCAACATCTTTTTTACATCGCGGTGACCAAAACTGGATGCAGTATTCCAAGTGTGGCCTTACCAAGGCATTGTAAAGTGGTATTAACATTTCACGTGATCTTGATTCTATCCCTCTGTTAATGCAGCCTAGCACTGTGTTGGCCTTTTTGGCAGCTGCAGCACACTGCTGGCTCATATTTAGGTGATTGTCCACTAGGACTCCGAGGTCCCTCTCACAGTTACTACTATTGAGCAAAGTACCCCCTATACTATACCTGTACATTTGGTTTTTCTTGCCTAAATGTAGAACCTTACTTTTTTCACTATTGAATTTCATTTTGTTAGATAGCGCCCAGTATTCAAGTCTGTCCAGATCCTCCTGTATCCTAAGCCTGTCTTCTGGAGTGTTGGCTATTCCTGCCAGCTTGGTGTCATCTGCAAATTTGATGAGTTCCCCATCTATCCCCTCGTCCAAATCGTTGATGAAGATGTTGAAGAGCACTGGGCCCAGAACAGAGCCCTGGGGCACCCCACTACACACTGGAGCCCTTCCAGATCACATTTACCATTTCCATAAGGCAAAAAAACATTGGTACAACCTTCACCATCTGCTGGGGCCTCAGTGGCCAGAACTGGATCTTTTCCTCTTGTCTTCTGCCTTCAAAGGAAGGAAGTGACTCTCTCGGTAGCTTAATTGCTCTACCATTCCATGATTCCCCTGCTTGCAGTAAATTGCTTCTGCTAAGATGATTATGTGCATCTCGTAAATGGTACAGTAAATTCTTCTCATTTGTCTGTTGAAACCTAACTGGCAATTTCTCACAGTTAGTCCAGCCTTGATCTTCCTATTGCAGTGATGGCGAACCTTTTAGAGACCGAGTGCCCAAACCGCAACCTAAAACCAACTTATTTATCGCAAAGTGCCAGGGCCGCATCAGCATTGTAGTGCCCTCGGGTGGGGGGCATGGCCCAATGGGTAGGCGTGGCTGCAGTGGTGATGGCAGACTGAGTGGGTGTGGCTGGGGTGGGCGTGGTCACCTTGATGTTGCTCGTGGGGGGGACGCCTGTGGGGGCTGGGCAGGATTGGGGGAGATCCAGAGGGTCTCTGGTGGGTGGGGTAGTGGGCAGGAGGCTCATCCTGCAGGGTGAGACGGGGTAGGGTGGGTTTTTGCTGCGGGGCAAGGCGAGGCCAGCGAGCGCATGGGGGCGTGCTCTACCACCTCTACTCGAGCTTGCTAGCCAGCTGTTTCGCCTCCTTTGTGCTGGGTGGGGCTGCCTCTCCGGGTGCCAGCGGTGGCCTAATGGACCTGCGCGACCTGGCGGCGGTGGTGGCAGGTGTGCCCACAGAGAGGGCTCTGAGTGCCGCCTCTGGCACGCGTGCCATAAATTCGCCATCACTGTCCTATTGTGTCTTTGGCTCCTCTGCTTCCTCAAACCGCACCCCTTACTAGCACTGATGATGTTACCTAGTTTGGGTAATGAAACATCTGCAAAGAAACAATCAAGCTCAGAGAGCACCAAGGATTCCTTTTCTTTGTTTGGATATCTGCACTTTTCACCTTGTCAAGAACTTGAGTGATCTTAACAGAATAACAGAGTTGGAAGGGACCTTGAAGATCTTCTAGTCCAAATGCCTGCTCAAGCAAGAGACTATACCAGGGGTAGGCAACCTTGGCTCTTTTATGACTCATGGACTTTGACTCCCAGAATTCCCGAGCCAGCCACGCTGAGAAGAAAGGGAGAGGTTTCCAAGCTGAGCCATGCTGGCTCAGGAATTCTGGGAGTTGAAGTCCACGAGTCATAAAAGAGCCAAGGTTGCCTACCCCTGGACTATACCCTATACCATTTCAGACAAATGGCTGTCCAGTCTCTTCTTAAAAACGTCCAGTGATGGAGCAGCCATAACTCCGGGAGGCAAGCCGTTCCATTGATTGTTCTCACTGTCAGGAAGTTACTCCTTCGTTCCAGGTTGCTTCTCTGTTCAATAAGCTCCCATCTGTTGCTCCCTATCTTGCCTTCAAGTGTTTTGGAGAACAGGTTGACTCTGACTCACCTGAAGTTGCATCTCTTCTGAGGCTGCCTAAATCTTTTCTTTCTTTGTTGGCCTTTGTTCTTCTTTGCCCAGCTCTGATGCTCCTATTCTTGCCAGCTCCTGAGCCCCTTTCAGCTCTTGCTATGGGGTGTCCCTTCCCTCCACTTCTTCCTCTGACGCCCCAAGAGCTGCAGTCTGGATGTTTGGGAGTTAGATGGGGGGGGGGAATCATGTTGACCTTCTCTGTTCTCCTACCTGGACCAGAGAGGAAGCCCAGCTGCAGGTGAGATGCCCTCTCACCTGATGGCGAAGAATGACAGGTGGAGTCAGGCTATCCATGGGGACGTTCCCTTCCCCTGCACATCCCAGGAGCTCTCCTTCCACTGAAGGCAGGTGCTTGCTGCTGGGGGAACGTCCCCCCCACTTTGAATACTTCTTGTGGCACAGAAGAGCTATTTGCAGTGAGCGGGGGGGGGGGCTCTCAATGCCTCCATTCCTGGAGAGGTCAGAATGGCTGGACGACAGGTGTACACCGGCGGGGAGGGGGGAACCCTCCTAACACTACACGTGGTGTACCCCTTTTTGAGTCTAAGACCCCCACCCCCCACCTAAGAGGCGTTCGTGGACAGTGAGACGTCTTCGGGGATTTTCCAAACTCCGGACGGGAAGACCTCTTTGTCAAAGAGAGGGGGGGGGGGGGGGGGCCTAACGTGACTGCCCAGCAGCTGCCATCTTTGGCAAAAGGTTTGTTTGCACAGGCTCCTCTGTCCGTCTGTCCGTCCATCTGGGAAGAGGACCACCACCCGGGGTCAAGCGGTCTTCTGGATGGCGGTTTTAGAACATGCCCTTTGCCTTGGCTTTGCCTTCTTTCAAGAATGCAAGGATCCATTTTTACGCTCTAGCTTGAAAACATTTCGTGTGTGCTTTGTGTGCATCTCTCTGTCTGGATTTTTTTTTTTTATAGAATACGATGTTATACAATGTCAGGTTCTTTCTTTTTTTTTAAAAAAAAAAGTTTCTTATTTGTATTTATTGTAGCTGACTATTGGATGTAGATCAAATGTCTTTGCTAGAGCATGAATGATAAATAACTCCAGAAGCGGTGAATGCTCCAATACTGGAAGTTTTTAAGAAGAGACTGGACAGCCATTTGTCCGAAATGGTATAGGGTTTCCTGCCTGAGCATGGGGTTGGATTAGATGACCTCCAAGGTCCCTTCCAATATTATTATTGTTGTTGTTGTTGTTGTTGTTGATGATGATGATGATGATGATGATGATGATGATGATGATCGCACAGTCAGCCAGATGTTGAGACTGGATTTGGCATTTTGTCTACGTATCGAGTCCTTCCCAAGGACCTGGGATAGGCAGATGTGGATGTTTGATGGTATTACAGATATTGTCACAGGATGGAAGCAGTTCGTAGTAAGGCCACCTTTTGCAATTGACTAATGGTGAATTTGTTATTATTATTATTATTATTATTATTATTATTATTATTATTGTTATTATTATTATTAAATGTCTACAGCCGTAGAAGGGGGCAGGTGGGGCTCAGCCCCAGTGGTGGGATTCAGCCACTTCGCACCGGCAGAACCGGTAGCTAATTTTTTGTTGCCCAGGCCCAGAATGGACTTCCGGAAGCGGCATCCACACAGAGAACCGGTTGTTCACATATTTGAATCCCACCACTGCTCAGCCCTGATAACTTTCTGTGGAACCTGGCTGGGGGTTTCATCAGAGCACCCAACTCGCCTTTCTGAGGGAGAGGGCAAAGGTCCAGCTGTGGAGGGAGGCTGGCAGTCAGGGTCCACCACAGAAGGGGGGCCCTGCTCCACATTTCTACATGGGGCTCCGTGTGTGGGGTGGCCGTCACAGCCTTCCTTCTGCTGCCCAGGAACGAGGCTGCACGGGGCCTTTAAGTGCAAACAAAAAAGTTGGGATCGAAGCAATAAATTTGTTTTCTTGGATTTAAATGTAAGTGATATTTCGCATTCACTAAATACAATTACAATTGATGCTTCCCATGGAGGACGAGCTCTCCCCATTTCTAACCAGAAACAGGACAACGTAGGGGGAATTCTTAGAGGCCGTCGGGAGTCCCCCGGGAGCTCCGCTGTCAGCCACGGGGTGGGTGGGGTGTTGCGGGAGAGTGCCAGCGCAGACTGGCAGGAGAGCAGCTGATCCAACGGGGTCCCTCCTGCCTTTTCTCTTGGCAGTCATCTACATCTGTGGCCCCCTGGAGATGCTTCACCAAGTCATGCGCCGGGCCCAGTCGGAGGGCATGACCAACGGCGACTACGTCTTCTTCTATGTGGACGTCTTTGCAGAGAGCCTGCAAGGGGACGGGCACCAGGGGGCTGCCAAGCCCTGGCAGAGCAAGGAGGACCAGGACTCGGGCACCCTGCGGGAGGCCTTCCAGGTCAGTCTAGTAGCCGGAGAAAGGAGCCTGCACCCTTGGACACCCAAGTGGGGAGGGCTGAAGTGGAGCAGCAGGGATGTCGAGGCTGCCCTCTCGGGGGAAGGAAGGGCCTCTAGCCTTCCGAGGGCCTGGGCTGGGGAGCAGGGAGCCCCACGAGCTACTCTTCTGGAAACCCGATGCTGGGAGGCTGGCTCTACCCTCAAGGACAATGGTTCAGAGAGTGTGTCTGTATACGGAGGTGGGGTGGGGTGGGGTACAGTGGTGGCCAGGGTGAATCCTCCTCCTCTTCCTGTTCCTCTTCCCCTGCGGTTTTGGGACCCTTAGCTCCTTCTCTGCTCTTGGGGTCTCTCCCTGGGCCTTCTCTTACTCAGAGAGGAAGGACTTGTGGGTTCCAGCCCTCTAACCAGGGAGCTGTGCGTGTCTCTTTCCGGCCAGGGCATGGCAGGAACTCAACTGCTAGAAGAGCTGAGGTGCCCAGTGTGGAGTGCCAGGGGGGATGCATGGGGTGGGGGTGGTCCACCACTTGCTACCTAGTCTGTGCATAAACCCCCAGCAGCCTTTTCTGGTGCCTCCTCTGCTTGCTGCAAGGGAGAAGCAAGGACCCCAGATCTCTTCTGCAAGAGGAGCTTAGAAAGGCAGGGATGGGGGGGGCAGGAATTCAACCCTTTGCTGCAGGGTGGGGGTAGACATGCTGTGGGGGAGCAGCAGAACAGAAGCCCCTGGAGAGCAGCCAGCTTCAGACCCTGAGCTGCTTTAATTCCCTGGCTGCCTGTGGCCCTGAGCAGCCAACCAGGCCTCTACCTGGCCAATATCAGCTTGACTCAAAATGTGTGTGTGTGGTGTGTGTGTGTGTGTGTGTGAAGCCAAACCTTACTGGAAGTGCAGACTGGCTTCCTTGCCCCTTCCTCTCAGCTACTTCCAAATGCAGGTCTTGAGCGAGACAACCCACCGTCTCTGCCCCTCCCCCTCCAAAAGAGACTGCAGGCTTTGCAGAAATGCTCAGCAGCAGATGGGAAGGGGGAGAGGCAGGATGGGCCAGGGAGGGGGGGGGAGGCCAGTGCCTGAGGTAAGGGGAGCCACATGCAGCCCCCAGAGGTTGCAAAGCCCCCACCTATTGGCTGTGCCAGCAAGGGCAGATGGGAGTCATCTTGCAGCCTGGTGTGAGATTTCCAGACAGCTACGTGCAGGAAGCATGGTGTGTGTGTGTGTGTGTGTGTGAGAGAGAGAGAGAGAGAGAGAGAGAGAAAGAGAGAGAGAGAGATTGTACAGATGGAAAAGGCTGGTGCCTCACCAGCAGGGGCACATGGGCTCCCGTGTCCCTCAGCCGATGGTTTTTCTTGCAGACGGTGCTGGTGATCACCTACCATGAGCCCCAAACGTCTGAGTACCGAAACTTCCAGAACCAGGTGATCCTGAGGGCTCGTCAGCACTATCAGGTGGAGCTCAGTAGTTCACTGGTAAGCCCGCCCACCTCATCCCTCTGGCACCCTTCCCCCTCTCTTGAGCTTCTAGCTGGGCGAGAGGAGTCCCCCACAGCCAAAGCCTCTGGCAGAAAGGAAGGCCGTCTGAAGACTGACCGGGGCAAACCTCTCCTCACACGCAGAGCCTCCTTGAGCAGGGGGAGCCTGGCGGGTGCTGGGCCACCACAGACAGCCTCGGCGCAGAGCGACTGGCCACGCGCATCTTCACAGAATGAAAGCCGGTGGGATGGTTCCCAGCCTGCTTGGGGAGGTGGCTGGTAGCAGGGCTGGCCTCAGCCCTTCGCTGCTGTGGGAGAAGCACTCTCTGTCCCTTGGGGTCAGCCGGCCTGCTGTAGCTTTGCATGGGGGGAGGGCGTCACCCAGTGAGCAGCAGCTCCTTGGGGCACTTAGGGCTTGAGGTCATTCCAGGGGCTTCCCGAGTACGGATTGAGCCATTGACACTGTAACTTTAAAGAGGGTCCTGGAAATGAGGCGGGTCCCAGCTCCGTTGCCTGGTCCCCGGCTGAAGGGAGCAGAGAAACTGCCTAACTCTGGAGCTCCTTTCTTGATGCATTAAGGTACCTGGGTTTGGTGCAGCTGCTTTAAGGGCCTGCCCAAAGCGTGGTGCCCCATTTTGGCTGGAGATGTCAGCCAAATTGCTGGCCAGGGACCTGGAAGCAGCTGCAGCAATCCTTGGGAGGACTTGAGTGCTTCATGGCGTCAGGAACATCGCGCGAACACTAGCCTGCTGCGCAGAGGGCTCCCTCCAGCAAGCGCAGGGAATCAGGAGGCAAGGCGGTTCAAATGAGTCCGCACACTCACGCACGCACTCTCGCGGGGGGGGGGGAGGGGAGGGAGGGAGAGAATCCCCTCTGCAAGTTGTCTAATCCCTCCCCAGCTGGTGTCTTTCCAGGAGTTTGTGCCAGACCCTCCAGCCTGTTCTCCCTCTCCCTGCTCCCTCTCCCAAGGGTTGTCCAAAGGTTTCTATCCTTTTCACCCCCTTGGGTGTGATGGCCTCTACTAGGAGTAGTGGGAGAGACACGGGTTGTATGTTAACGACAATCCAAAGTTGCAGTCTAGAGCTTTCCAAATAGTCCAGTCAGACCCTACCCCCATCTGTGAGCATGAAAGTCCACAGAATGAATGGGATCCTTCCCCACCCAAGGTGCCCCTTGGTGGAGGTCTCCAGAGGGGGATCCAGAGAGTTTTGCCTCCCACTTTGAGGGGGGACTCTCAGCTGGCAGAGGAAGCCCTTAATGTGGGGGTGGGAGGGTCTTTCTTGGCCTCCTCGGCCTCTGCTTGCAGCAAGCTTTGAGAGGCTGGCAGGTGGGGGTCCCCTCTCTGGAAGGGGACCCCCACAAGCTCTGGGCTGCCTAGAGCAGAGAGGCCACAGTGGAACCTCTTCAGGACCCCTACAGCCAGCCAAGGCCAACTCTGGGGGGCTGGGGAATGGAGGGAACTCCCAATTGGACCAGGCAGCCACTAGCCTGAGGGGCTGGGTAGAAGCGGGAGGGGTGTATGTGTGTATCACGCCCATCCTCCTAGGCTGAGGGTCTCTGCCCAAACTTCTGCCTGCAATGGCACAGGAATTACTAGCTGCCATCAACCAGGCACATGGCTACCCTCGTCCAAAGCAGGGCTCTGAGTAGGTTCTGCTCAGAAGGCTGTTCCGTACTGGGCAACTGGAGCTGCCCCCAAGATAAGCTTCACTATGCCCGTCCTGGTTGGCATAGGAGGGGGAGTGTTCTTCCGGAAAAAGAACCAGCCCTGCCCTCTTGAGCTACTAGCAGGGAGGAGCAGCCTGCCCTCCCCCACTGCCCAGATGGGTGGTACCTCCTAGGCCCTGGAAAAGTGTTTGGCCTGGAAGCCCTCTGGAAGAGCAGGTGGCTCTCAAGGGCCAGCACTGGGAGGAGGGAAAGAAAATTGGGGGCAGTGTTGCTTGCAGGTCCCTTCGGGACTCCCAGCACTGGAGGTTGGGAGACTAGTAGAGTCTCCTTCTGAAAGAGGCGAGTGCAAGTAATTAACCTTTTCCTTCCCTGGGGGGGGGGGAGAACAGCAGGAACCCCTTTTACCAGGCTTTGGAAGCCACTCTGGGTGCAGGCAGGAAACAGCGGCCACCTCCCACGCACATCCTGCCCCCTCCCCACAGGGCTGCTCCTATTTTTAGGCTCCCCTCCCCATATTCTATGCAGTTTCCCAGGAACCCACAGGCAGGCAGAAAAAGGCATTAAGGAGAAGGGGGGGCTGCATTCACACCTCTCACTGTTCACTGAGCAAGCCTGTTTCCTGATTGGCTGTTCACCTGTTGACCAATCCACTGGCTAAACAGCTGGGCCTGCTCATTCATGGGCCTCCAAGCTTCCGCAGGACCTGCTGGCTGCATTCAGTCCGCTGAGGGGTCTGCAGCAGTGAACCCCCCTTGCCTACCACCTTCTGGGCCTTCTACAGCGAGAGCCTTGAAGCGCCCAGTTGTGGTTCAGCCGAGCCCAGCCTGTTGGGTGAACCCAGCCAGGGAGGGACACTGGCGACCGGTTCCTCCCACAGTGGGCCGTGGGGCCCAGAAAGACAGCAAGCTAAAGACTCTTCACGCTCTGGGTTGCCGGCAAAAGCTGAGCTCACAACCGGAGCTGTTCCTAGTCTCCTTTGGGGCAGTGGAGAGATTATGCTCCCCTTTTCCGAAATAGACAAGGTCATGTTTTCTACCCTGAAATCAGAGTAAAACGTCCCTAGTTTTAGCCTCCGGATCAAAGGGCCTGCAGTCACCAGCTCCTCCTGACCACAGGGCTGCACTGGAGGAGAGGCCCCTTTGCCCCGGGTGCAAGTGGGCCCCTCTGTATCCAAGCAGAGAAGGGCTCCTATGTTCTGGCATTTAGAAATGTTTGCTTGTTGTGGATTGGGACCAAGGGGAATTTGGAGTATCTGGAGTTAGCTCACAACTGGTGCCAGGTTAAATTCCTGCTGCCTCCCTAGACAAGGGGGTCTTCCCAAGGGTGGGCCCTTCAGCTGCGTGGCTCTCCTGGTCTCCTAGTCTCCTGCTAGGAGGAGGTGCCTCGGAGGGCACTGAGCAATGCCTCCATCTCCCTCTTTGGCTCCTCCACAACAGAAAAACCTGGTGGCAGGCTGCTTCCACGACGGGCTTCTCCTTTACGCCCTGGCCTTGAACGAGACCCTCCACGAGGGCGACACAAAGCTTAACAACAGCCGCATCCTGGAGAAGATGAAGGGGCGCAGGTTCCAGGGTACGGGGGTTGCAAGGGGGGGGGTTCCCAGACCCAGGGCCAGGCTGAAGATCATCCAAAAGAGATCTTAGAAGGTCTTCCTTATTAGGTGGTCAGGGGGTGGGGTGGAACGGCTGGAGGGGAGGTGCAGGTTTGGGGCCCAGGCTTGCCTGGGTGAGGTTTCCTGGGGAGTGACCTGTCCCCAGCTCCATCTATAAGGGTGACAGCACTGCTGGCCCCAACTGTTCCTAGGGGCCTGACCCAAATGTGTGGCCACTTTTGCTCCTCCAGGGGTCACTGGGACCGTGAGCATGGATCAGAACAATGACCGCGACACGGACTTCAATCTGTGGTCCATGGTGGAGGGGGATAGTGGCGAGTACCAGGTAGGCTGGAGCCCCCCAGCAGTCCCTAACTCCAGTCCACCCAGCAACCCAGTTCTCCCTTGCCAGGAGACCCCAGCCCTTCTCTCCTGGAGGGAAAAAGTCTGGAGCAATCATCCCCCTCCATTTTCCTGGCCAGGCAGGTGAAGAACAACAACATCTGGCCAGGTGAGCCAAAGGCCTTCTGCCCACAGGTGGTGGGACACTACGTGGGATCAGAGAAGCAGCTGAAGTGGCTGGGACCCATCCTCTGGGTGAAGGGACAACCGCCTCTCGATAACCCCCCCTGTTTTGACATGGATGACCCCTCCTGTGACAAAAGTGGGTGTCTGTGGGCTTGCTGCCAAAAGAAAGCTGGGGGAGAGAGAGGGCTCCCTTCCCCCTGGGAGAGCTTTGGAGAAAGACCACCCTCAGTGACACCCAGCTGCCTTCCTGTGCCCTTCAGGGTGCCTTCCCGTGGGTGGCTAGTAGGCAGAGCCCCTCCCTGATTTGCTTTGTCCTTGCAGGCGCACTCAGCACCCTGGCAATCCTGGCCCTGGGGGCTGGACTCACCTTCATCATGTTTGGAGTTTCCAGCTTCCTGATCTTCAGGTGCCTGAGCAAACTCTTTGGGGGGGGACAAGGAACGGTCATGTGCAGTGTGCAGCCCAGGAGGAGGAGGAGGAGGAGGAGGAGGAGGAGGAGGGTCATTGTTGCAGTGACCACCTGTGTGATATGTGGTCAGAGGCAGTTTGGGCTTAGCCAAGTGCTTCCTCCTCAGCCTTTGGTAGAGGCTGGGCTGCACCAGAAGGGCCTCCACAACCTCTGAGAGAAGTTCACACAGTGGGCTAAACCAGAGGAAGGTCTGGCTGGTTTGTTCACACGTGCCAGGTTGCTTGGGGTGAACCGGCTGTGTGGCCTTGGTTGGCGCTTGGGCTGGGGTACGGTAGGTGCCTCAGGCCAGAGCAGGTTTAGGCTCTTGCACTGCAGACTCAGCTCTGAGTCCAGGCTGGGTCCAATTGCAGGGCACTTCAGGGGGGGGAGCTGGGGGCCTGTGGCTGGGCCAGGAAGCTCAGAAGCTGCTCTGGCTCTTGGTAGGAAGCTGATGCTGGAGAAGGAGCTGGCCAGCATGCTATGGCGGATACGCTGGGAGGACCTGCAGTTTGGTGGCTCAGAGCGCTACCACAAGGGGGCGGGCAGCCGACTCACTCTCTCGCTGGTAGGTACTGTGGGGTGCCCACAGGCCCAGCCCCCCACCTGTTCCCCAACCCCTCAGCTTTGATGGGGCCCTTTCCCCCTCCTGCCCACTAGGCCTCGGTTAGCTGTGACTCTCTGCCTTGGCTTCTCTCCAGCGCGGCTCCAGTTACGGCTCCCTCATGACGGCCCATGGCAAGTACCAGATCTTTGCCAACACAGGACTCTTCAAGGTGAGCCCCCCCTCCGTCCCCCTCCCCAGCCGCAGCTGTGTTGGAGGCCAGGCCGGCTCACGCCCCTCCCCCGCTCCTCTCTTGCCCTGCAGGGAAACGTGGTGGCCATTAAACATGTCAATAAGAAACGGATTGAGCTGACGAGGCAGGTGCTCTTTGAGCTCAAGCACGTATGTACTGGGGGGGCAGGGCTGACTGCTCTGGGGGTCTTGTGGAGGGTGGAAGCCTCTGCTGCAGGGACTGCCAGGCAGGAAGACACTGGCAGTGGCCTCCGCTCCACTGGTTCACGCTTGCTGCCCCATAGATGCGGGATATTCAGTTCAACCACCTGACCCGGTTCATCGGGGCCTGCATTGACCCCCCCAACATCTGCATCGTGACCGAGTACTGTCCTCGTGGCAGTCTGCAGGTGAGGCGGCTGTCCAGTATGGAGGGGCAGGGGGCAGGGCTTCCCCTGCTGGGCCATAGCCAAAGCTGACCTGTGCCCCTCCTCGGCCTGCCCAGGACATTCTGGAGAACGAGAGCATCAATCTGGACTGGATGTTCCGCTACGCTCTCATCAACGACATTGTTAAGGTGAGGAAAGGGGCTCCTGGCATTCAAGTGAAGGGATGGGGGGGAGCTGCCATGCTGTTTTCCCCATCCTGGAACTCCTCCCGGTGGGGCTTTCTGCAAGCTTCTCCAGGCTTCTGGCTGGGCATCCCAGGGACCCCCATCTTCCCCCCCATTCAGATGGGGCTCAACCTCAGGTGGGCCTCCCTCCATCCTTTGGGGACCTACACTCAGCAGCTGCTTGTCCCCTCTCTCCCCTCCTGCCCCATACAGGGCATGGCCTTTCTGCACAACAACATCATTGGCTACCATGGCAGCCTCAAGTCCTCCAACTGCGTGGTGGACAGCCGCTTCGTGCTCAAAATCACGGATTACGGTCTGGCCAGCTTCCGCCAGGGCCATGAGAGTGAGGGCAACCATGCGCTCTATGCCAGTGAGTGCCCGGCAAGCCCCCCTAGAGCCTGGTCTCCTGCCCATCCCCTGGGGAAGCCTGAGCCCTGTGCCCCCCTGACCCCAGACTCTCCGGCTCCTGCTTCAGAGAAGCTATGGACGGCTCCAGAGCTGCTGCAGAAGGGGACCCTGCTCCTGCTTCCCCCGGCCATGCAGAAGGCGGACGTGTACAGCTTTGGGATCATCCTGCAGGAGATTGCATTGCGCAGCAGCGCCTTCTACGTGGAGGGCATAGAGCTCAGTCCCAAGGGTGAGAAGGGGCCAGGGGTCTGAGCAGAAGCCTACAGCCCGGGAGCCTTTCCTGGCAAACGCCAGCCCTGCCCGCCTACAGCCTGCGCTGACATGAAGGGGGATGCTGCTTGGCCCAAAGAGGATCAGGAAAGGTCAGCAGCGGAGGCTGTCTGTCTCTCCCTCCTGCCATGCCCTGTGTTGACCTCTTGCAGCTGAGGAGTCCTCCAGCCTGGATGGGTTCAGCAGTGGGGCCAGCCATCTAAGCAGTGCTGCAGGAGGGGCAGGGGAAGTAATGTCTCTGGGTTCCTCGGAGACGTACTGCCTGGAGCCCCTCCAAGGGGAGCAACTATTGGGATGCAATTATATCTTCAGGGGCTCCCCAGAGAGCAGGGAAGGGCTTCTCACCCGGGGACCCCCCCAGAGGTATCCCCAGCCCACGTCCAGCCTGTTCCAACAGCTCACCCGGGCTCTGGCTGCCATGGCCACACCTGGGTGGAGCAAGAGGATGGTACTACCTGAATTCAAGATGGAGGCTTCCACACCAGAGAACGGTAAAGGGGTGATGCTGCTGGCTGTGCCATTGGCTGGGTTCTGCTGCTTGTGATGATGCAGGTTTGACCCTGTGACCTCTGTCTTTCCAGTCTCCTCCCTCACCCTCATCCCTCACCACCCTTCAGGATTGCCATGTTCACTTCTTTCTCCTCATTGCCTTAGCAGCCAAGTCACCACCTCCCCCCGCAAGTCAGCTGCGCCTCCATCCCATTACCCCCACATTCACTCCTGTGCATCCCACCCCACTCCTCCCCCCCAGAGATTGTGCAGAAGGTGTGCAACAGCCAGCCGCCCTACTTCCGGCCCACCATCGACACCCGCCTGCACAGCGAGGAACTAGGTGTCCTGATGGAACGCTGCTGGGCTCAGCACCCGGCCGAGCGCCCAGATTTTGCCCAGATTAAAGTCTTCATCCGGCGATTCAACAAGTAAAGTATTCTTCTCCCACCATAGGGCATTGGGAGTGGTGGTGGCAGCTTCAGCTTATGCCCCTCTGGGCAAGGAAGCACAGAAAGTCTTCTCCCCACACAGCCTTGGATAACCTCTCAGGAGGGTAGGCAAGGTGCCTGGTTGCGACCATCCCAATGTTGTCTTCTCACAAGATGCATGTGTACCTCAAGAAGTCTCCAGTTGGCCCTGGAGAGAATATTCCTACCAAACATGGGCTGAGAGTCTCCATGGGGAGCCTCCCAAAGCCTGTGGCTTCTGCTGGATCCCTGAGACAAAGTGGCCACGGGATGAGTGTGTGGTATCCAGGAGAAGCTCACTCTGGCAGAAAATGAATCTGGCTGTGGGAAAGGAGGGTCTCCCAGACTGGACCCAGGCCCCAAATCTAGCCAGCTTGGTTCTCTCAGGCACTTCTGTGGCTCGGCTGACAGATAGCTCCCCTCCCTGCCCAAGAGGCAGGCACTCTTCCCACCTACAGGATTCAAGGATGGGCTGTCTGGAGGAGATCAGGGGCAGGGGGGGACTAGGGGATAGATACAGAAGCTGACCCCAGCTGGGCAGATGCTCCATAGTCTTGGGGGGGAGGCTCAGTCCCCAACCTGCAGCAGTATTGCCTGTCATCCAAAGGCTTCAGAGTGAGGGGTTCAGGGGTGGGGGAAGTAATGGCACAGCACCCGCCATACCCTGGCACCATTCCCCTCACCCTGCCTGCACCACTGTGGACCCTGCCCTCCCTCTCTGCCTCAGGGAAGGAAGCACCAGCATTCTGGACAACCTGTTGTCGCGCATGGAGCAGTATGCCAATAACCTGGAAAAGCTGGTGGAAGAGCGCACACAGGCCTACCTGGAGGAGAAGCGCAAGGCAGAGAACCTACTCTACCAGATCCTGCCCCAGTGAGTCCAGCCTCCCTCCCTCCAGGGTTCTGTAGCTTGACGCCATCTCCCGCTTGGAGGTTCAGCAGCTCCTGTCCTTTCTATTCCACAGTTCGGTGGCCGAGCAGCTGAAGCGGGGTGAGACAGTACAGGCTGAAGCCTTCGATTGTGTCACCATCTACTTCAGCGACATTGTAGGGTTCACCTCCTTGTCAGCAGAAAGTACTCCTATGCAGGTAGGCTGCAGCATGGGTGGGTGGGTGGGCAGTACCTTGCATGCCTGAAATGGATGTGTCTGACTCTAGTCCTGCTTGGTTTGTGCTTGGAAAAGTCTCCTCCACACAGCCCATCCCCTGGCTGGAGCAGGTCCAAGATGCCCGCTAGACAGTTTTCCCATGAATGTGAGGCGCTCCCTTGTTCCTCCGCTTAAGAGTTGGGCTATGGCTTGTTTTCTTCACCCAACGTAGATATGGAGCCCTGTCCTACTTGCATGTAGTGCTGCAACCAAACATGGCTGGCACATTGCAGAAGATTAGTACTTAGCTACCAGTTGCTGAAAAAAGTGGAATGGCTATGTTAATATGCCAGGCCTCCAGAAACTCTGGAAGTTAAGTGTTCTCCGAAAGTATAGTCCAGACAAGAGGGCAGAGGGAAAGGGAGGGGAGAGGGAGGGAGGTCTGGAGAGGCCTCTTTTGACCAGGGTGAATGTGGAGGGTTACATGGCACAGAGTCAAGGTAGGCATATTCTGAATTTTTGACACGCTGAGCCCAAAAGGTTCACCATAACTGATCTGTATTTATGACCATGGCTGAAAGAGCTCAGTCGCCATGTTCTTACAAAAGGGTTTAGGATGATTATGAATCAGGCTGCTACTTTTACATCCTCCTGTGGATCATTGCTTCGGCATGACATATTACATGGACACAGCAATCAGGTTTCACTGCATGTTTTGGGTGTTGTGTCAACGCAGCTATTGGGAAGCAGAGGAAAGGCAGAGCTTGCTATTAATTACCCTCCCAATGTTCACTTATCCCTTCTGCACGGCGTGGGTGTGGGGTCCCAATTTGGCCCTTCTTGTTCAACTTCGTCAATTGGTCTTTACTCGCTTTCCCAAAAATGTCTTTCCATCTGCCCTGGGCGTTTGCAAGCACTGCCGTGCCACAGCTGCGTCTGGTCTTGCCCTGGGTGGCCACCTGCTCTTGCTAGATTAGACTCCCTCCACCTGCCCAGCCAGCTCACCCATCTCTCCCCATCCCAATCACTAGGTGGTGACACTCCTCAATGACCTCTACACTTGCTTCGATGCCATCATAGACAACTTTGATGTCTACAAGGTGAACTTTGCTGGGATGGGAGGGGGGTGTTTTCCTGGCTGACCCCCAGCTCAAAGCAGTGCTGCAGGGAGGCCCCCCAGCTCACCCTGCTTCTTGGCCCTGGCCATAGGTGGAGACCATTGGTGATGCCTACATGGTAGTGTCCGGCCTGCCTGTTCGAAATGGCAAGCTCCACGCCCACGAGATCGTCCGCATGGCCCTCGCACTCCTGGAGGCTGTGAAGACCTTTCGCATCCGGCACCGTCCCACTGAGCAGTTGCACCTGCGCATCGGGGTCCACTCTGGTGAGTGAGGTGGGCAAGCACAGTCTACCTTTCCTGAGCATGCACAAAGCACCAGCGGTTCAGCCGTCCTCCTCTACCTCCTTGCAGGGCCAGTGTGCGCGGGAGTGGTGGGCCTCAAGATGCCACGCTACTGCCTCTTTGGGGACACAGTCAACACGGCTTCACGTATGGAGTCCAATGGCGAGGGTGAGATACCAGCCCCCCATACCCTCTTTCTGTAGGGCCCATATATCCTTACCTCCCCTCCCTTGGAGCCTGCTACTGGTGCTTCTCCCCACCCGGCCTTCTTTCCAGCCTCCCCCCCCCCAGCTTCCTTGTGAACTTCCTTTCCCTTTCAGTAGATGCTCCAGTGGGATGCAATCCAGCCCAGCTGCGCCCCATTTCTGGGAAGCTGAGGGGACTGAGATGTTGCTTCTCCTTGAGGGCCTCCTGAACGCAAGAGGGGCCCCATCAGGAACACTTAAAAGCTTCACTAGTTTAATCAACTTTATTGTGGTACTCTGTAATTGCTGTGGACCGCAAGACTCCTAAGTATGCCACTGGGCCCCTTTGGCAGGGGATCCTGGGGGTCGCTCACTCTCCTGCCCCTGTTCCTTCCAGCCTTGAAGATCCACATCTCTGCCGCCACCAAGGAGATCCTGGATGAGTTTGGCTGCTTTCTGCTGGAGCTCCGGGGGGACGTAGAGATGAAGGTGGGCATGGGAAGGAACAGGCCGGGCCCTGCATCAGTGGGGAGGGGGGAAGAGGATGGAGTGCAAAATGGAGGTGCACCTCTCACTTTCACTGCTCTGGGGGGGCTGCATTGCAAGAAAGGGGGCAAGAGCCCTTCACCTGTCTGCTTTCTGGCAGGGCAAAGGGAAGATGAGGACCTATTGGCTGCTGGGTGAAGAGAAGACGGCCGTCATCTGAGGGGGGCCCTCCCTCTGCAGGGACCCGGCAGCAGCATCTGCTCCCATGAACTTGCGGGGG